CTCTGCCCATCTGGGGTGAGGTGGATGGAGGAAAGGGGGATTTAAATTGGAATTGTTCAAAGGGCTTTTCCTGAAAAGAATTCAGTGAGGAAAGGAGAAACATTGCCCAGGGAAGACGAGTCAAGGGGCCAAGATCCTCAAGATCAAGACCAGGATGGCAAAGAAAGGGGGCCCAGCAGGAGTGGCTGGTGGCGGATGGTGGGGTGGGATGGCTCTGCTCAGGGACCCTGAGTAATAAGCCGAGGACCCTGCGAGAATCCAGAGAGAAAGCTTGCCACAGATTGGTGCAGGTTTCTGGGCATGTTGACTTTTATGGCATGCCGTTGTGTGTCACCGGTGATTCGCAAGGTCTCAGGATCTGGTCAGCAGCGTGCCCCAATTATAACAGAGTTCTGCGGTGGGCCAAGAGAGACACCCTAAAGATGGCCTGGAGAACTCCGGGCGTAGGGGTGTGCTGGGCTACAGAGCAGACTGGCTGTGAGCTTTCCTCTCAGCAGGGTCCCCAGCCCCACAACAGAGTCCCCCAAAACCAGGGCTGTGGAAGGGATTGGGTTTGTAGAGAGGAGGGGAGCGGGGCCTGGCCCCCAGCGGCTGTCTGTGTTTGGCCCAGGTGGTTCCCATCCAGACGACCTGGTGGATGGCTTGCCCAGGATGAGCCAGGCTGGTGACACGACCGGGTGTGACTCCGTCAGTGCCCTCAGCACCGAAGATCTTGTCAAGTCTTGGCCAGCGCAGGCATGCTAGCCCACAGAGGTCCCGAGTCATACTCTCCCGGCGAGCAAAAAGACTGGCATGAAAAGCTCCCCTTCTGTTAACCCAGTGGTTCTCACCCTTCCTCATGCCAAGACCCTTTAAAACAGTTCCTCATGTGGTGGTGACCCCCAACCATAAAATTATGTTCGTTGTTACTTCATAACTTTAATTTTGCTATGTTATGAATCAGGCGACCCTGGTGAAAGTCATTCAACCCCCAAAGGGGTTGCAATCCGCAGGTTGAGAGCCATTGCTCTAACCAGTTTTGAAAAACAAATCGGAGTCCATTTAGAGGTTCACCACACGCCCCTCAGACTAGTGCTATAGCCATTGTCCTTCCAGGCGGGCAGGGCAATCTTCTCTGGGATGCAGACCCAAGCATCCAAGGAAGGCCCCCAGCCAGGAGAACCTCGTGCTGTTTCAGTTCACGTGCAACTAGGCTAAGATGCATCCAACACAGAGCCATATGTTTGAGCCAATAGGGAGGGCCTTGTGCTGAGGGGCTGGAGTTAGGCATTGGCTGTAACCTTTCCCGCCGCCCCTCACACTGACACTGAATAATACAGTGTGTACTTCCCTCCACAATGTGGGGAGCACTGCTCCGTGGGTGCACCTTTTAGCTGCAGACTGGCTGTGAAACACTGTGACAGCCTGGCGTAACCACGCTCCAGGCGGCCTCCAAAGCGCAGAAGGCACGGGGGCTGCCTCCTCCCCTGGCCTGTGCCCTCGGCAGCTTGGGCGCTTGGGGACCAGGGACCTCAGGTGGCAGAGGTGAGAGGCGAGGGTGAGACTGAGCTCAGAATCATAACCCTACTTTTCCCTAGAGGAGGGTGAGGGGCCAGGTGTGGGGGGGAGAGGATCTCATTCTCTCTCCTGTGAAGACCAGCTCCCTCAGGGCACAATTAACCCCTCTGTGGCATCCCCGCTCATCACCCAGTTTACTTTACAGCAGTGGTTCTCAACCTTCCTAATGCCTCGGCCCTTTAATACAGTTCCTCATGTTGTGGTGACCCCCAACCATAAAATTACTTTTTTTGCTACTTCATAACTGTAACTTTGCTACTGTTATGCATCAGGCAACCCCTGTGAAAGGGTCATTCGACTCCCAAAGGGGTCAAGACCCACAGGTTGAGAACCACTGCTTTACATGATCCTAGCCAATGTTGAAAGGAGTCCTCGTGGCAGAGTGGGGTATGGGTTGGCTGCCAACTGCAAGATCAGCAGTTCAAAGCCACCAGCTGCCCAGAGGGAGAAAAGGGAGGCTTTCTACTCCTGAAAAGATTGGCAGCCTTGGAATACCACTGGGGTAGCTCCACCCTGCCTTACAGGGTTACTCTCTCTGAGTCAGAATCAATTCAATGGAAGAGCATTTGCTTTCATTATCCTGTGTTGAAGGAGTGCTGGGCAGGGTTGTCTAGTAAGCATTCGACTGCTCACTGCAAGGTCAGCTGTTCAAACCCAGCAGCCACTCCTAAGAAGGGAGTTGAGGCTGTGTGCTCCTGAAAAGACTTACAGCTCGGAAACCCTATGTGGGCAGTGGATGGCAATGGGTTGGGTGGCATCCTTTGTTGAGGCTCCTGGCTGATTGGTGAGGAAGGCAGAACGATGGAAAATACATCGTCACCAAGATGGCAATCTTGTCCAGAGCTGTCCACAGCCAGTTTTCCTCACGGCAGACCTCAGATCCTGCACGTGGTCACCTCCACCTCAGGGGGAGGTCTGAAATGCCATTCAACCGAAATCAGAAGCATTTTTACCTTCTGGTATCTTGAACGCCGTGCAGTGGAGTTCCGCGATCCTGACGCCAAGAATACTCCCATGGTACCACTAGCTGACTGTGTGACATTTGCAAAATCCATTCCCTTCTCTGTGGCTCGGACTCCTTTGGTGCTGAATGAGAACGTCTGCCTCTAAGCTCTGTTCGAATTCCGTGGTCCTCACCCATTTTTCAGATAAAATTTAAAAGCCACAGGAGGCACTTTCCCACCAGATGGCACTGTGTCCCCAGCTGCAGCGAGCAGGGCCCAGCACTCAGGCACCCAGTGAACACTCCTCTTAGGAATGTGTTTGTTCTCCGGTTCCACTGGGCTGTGCACAGTGAACTCGAGGGAGGCTGCTGCACTTCCAGGCCCAGGGATGGTGGCTCCTGCTCCCCAGGTAGAGTCAGGGAAGAACAGGAAATGGCCAGGAGCGTGAACCTCTGAAAGCAATTTTATGATGAAAGACAAAAGCTCAAGTTAAGGATGAGCCGGCCAGAGTGTGGTTCTCAGAGGCAGGTCGTGGACTTTTGTGATGTGGCTGATACCAAAGGGTTCTGGGTGCCAGCTTTGTACTGGACCTCCATTGCCAGAGACCGCCAGCCTCACCGAAGCAAAGGCTCAGAAGCATGAGGAAGGACCTAGGCCAAAGGCCGGCACTGCAAAACCCCTCCCCACCCCACTGCCGCGCCCCTCCCCACCCTCGCCTCGGCATCACCTGAGGGCTGGAAATCCAGGTCATCTGTGTGTATCACCTTTCTCATCTCCGTTAAGGTCAGAGGTGACAACGCTGACTTCTCCTTCCCCTTGGCGCTCTTATCGGCATCTTTTTCAAGAGGCCAACGAGTTTCCGTCAGCAAATGTTCCCGGGTGACCGTGTTTCAAAATGTAGCAGTGAGTCCTTTCTGGGATGTTTGAAACCATATTGGGTAAAAAACGCTTGTCTTTTGTGGGGAGAAAGCTGAATAAAGTGAATCTAGAGCTATGTTAAATATTTATACACATATGGGCAAATGCTAGCGCGCCAGGCTAAGAGAGATAGTTTAGTTTATGTCAGTTGTGTGATTATGGGTGCATCCCTGTGTATGCTCCACCCCACCCCCACCTTAAATTTAAGGTGCTCTTAGTTTTGCTGTGATGTTTGAAAAATATCAATAGCAAATCCCTAAGGATCAGGATCTACTGACATCTAGAAAGCTTCTTGTATTTCCCTAAATATATATATATATATTTCTGTTTTGGAAACCTTGCTCCAGTTCTCTGCCCAAAGATCAAAATTTCCATTAACAGAGACTGTTTCTGAGTTAATTTAGAGATTCCCTTTCTGAACCTCATGGATATTTAAAAAGATGCCATGTTTTGAAAACAGGAGAGTAATTATTTGTCATAAATTGATAATACATAATAAATTGACAACCAATATTAAAGTATTTTCAATTTATTACTTATTATAAATTTATGGCAAATTCTGTTGTATCCAAAACATTTCATATAAATTAAAAGCACCATCTTGGTTTTCAACATTATTGGCTTTCCATAATATTATGGGTTTTCAATATTGGTAGATGCATGGTGGCAGAGTGGGTCAAGCCAACCACAAGTAAGCAGTTCAAACCCATCAGTCACTCCTTGGGAGAAAGATGAGGCTGTCTGTTCCCGTAAAGATTTATTGCCTTGGAAAGCCAACGAGGCTGCTCTCCTACATCCCATGAGAACACCAGGAGTCAGTATTCACTCCATGGCAGTGGGTGTCTAATACTGGGAAGAAAAAAAAAACCCCAACGGATGTTAATGAATAATCTCGCCACTTTAAAGTAACTACTTCATCATGTATCATTCTGCCTGGATTATGGCCACAACTGTAGATATTTTTATTGTTGAAATCAGTGACTGTGAGGGGACACTAGTGGTTTAGTGGCAGAAGTCGGGAGTCCCTTTTCCAATTCCTGGCCAGTGCCGCTCATGCATGGCCATCACTCACCTGTCAGTGGTGGCTTGTTTGTGGTTATGATGCTGACCGTGTTTCAGTCTTCTAGACTAAGACAGATTAGGAATGAAGGCTTGGCCATCTACTTCCAAAATATAGCCAGCCATATACATACATATAAGCTGAGCAGGTATGGGAAGAAGAATGGGCCTGTACCCCACAAATATATTTCTACATATACACTTACCTGTGCTGCAACTATAACCATGCATACAGAGCGTCTACAGGGTGCAAAGTCATGAGAACTTCTTAGCCATGACCTGTTACCTGGGGGGAATGAGTCACTGGGCCTGCCTGTTCTACATTCCACTTTAGCAAGTAGCAACTGGGGGTCTTAAACGCTTGCGAGTGTCTGGCTTTGTGGAGGCCTCCTCTCTGGAGGAAGGAAGAGCTAAGCAAATAGAAGCTGTGTGAGAACAATGAGCCCCGTGGACTCATTGACCACGGGAGCATCAGTCTCCATGACCCTGTGTGTTAGGCATGGTTCTTTAAAGGAACAAACTGTGCTCGCTTCGGCAGCACATATACTAAAATTGGAACGATACAGAGAAGATTCGCATAGCCCTTGTGCAAGGTTGACACACAAATTCGTTCACTGAAACATCTCACCATTGCAGGTCACTAAGCCTTCGGGGAACTCTGCCTACACAGCAGCCTGACCCATCCTTAGAGTAGGTCATAGGCAGCCGCCTGAAAGAA